CCAAAACAGAGTCCAACCCTGAGCAGAGGGGCAAGAACCCTGTAGCCAGGAATCTCCAAGATTAATTCCCAGCAGATGCACTGGCACAACCCAGTCAAAAAACTCCAGCCTTGGTTGCAGCTGACACCCATGCTTCTGAGAAATGCTTAAAAAAACCCTGTAAGAGGGTTAGAGCAGGAAGGGAAAAAATGCCCCCCCTGGCTCCATGTGGCAACCAGCAAAGCCCAGAAGCATGGGAAATACCCATATAGAACATAGGTATAGCTACACCTAGACCATCCTTGACCAATGCCTGTTCTACCTCTTCTTGAATATCTCCAGTGACAGAGTCCTCAGTTTCCCTAGGCAGACTATTCCACTGTGTCACTGTTCTAACACTCTAGAATTATTCTAGAATACTCTAGATAGTTCTCTATGTCCTGCAAATGATAAAAGCAACATTAATTTGTGTATCAAGATTATAATGTAGACTGGTATCTAAATTTGTAAATATATTCAAGATTATTAGAACTTCCTGGTAACCCCAAATTACAGGATGTCAGTCAATAAGAACTTAAGTCATATGCACAATAGTAAACAAGTGGTGTAATTAGTAAACCTATGGCCCCGTAAGCTGAATCTGGCCCTGAAATGACTGAATTGAGCACATGGCCCAAGGGATCAGTGGTAAGCAGCTCAGCCCTACGCATCCCCTTCCCTGCCTTGCACCATACACTGATCCCCTCTGCAGCCACCTCTGCTCTTTCCTTCCCCACAGCAGACACTTCTTACTTTCTCCCTCCCCCTTCCATAGGCAGGAGCTACTTCCTCTCTCCCTCCCCTCCTTTGACACTGGCAGACATCCTTCTTCCTTTCTCCCTGCCCTCCTCCTGTATTGGAAGGTACACATATTCAGACTGCTGCTCTGAAGCTTGAATTTGACTGGTCTAATTCAGCACTGATTAAGAAGGGTGAGGGGTGCTAGTCTCAGAAAACAGACAGCTCTTCTTTGGGTCTTTGCAGCACCTGGGCCAGTTCTGAAAAATCACCATTACAACTGGCACCATTAGATTCAGAAACAACAAAAGATTAGACAGGCTTAAAGACTGAACCAATCTCTAACAAACAGATATTGACCCAGGCTAGAACTGTTTCATCAAACAGCTAAAACTGTCAACCCGGTTTCAGTCATCCTCAAACTATATCCAAATTAGACCCAAAGTTGTCAAATATTTTTGGCTGAAATGGTAGATGATGTCCCTATTCTCATCCAGTAGCTCAGTGGTTAAAATTAGAGGTGCACTGATACGTTGGTCCGATATCAGATTGGTACAGATATAAAGCAAATTGGCTGTATTGGAAATTGGCCCAATGGGGCTGATAATTTGGCCGATAAATGCCCATGCTCTGCACAGCCATAGCGCAGCACTCAGGCAGCGAGGAGCAGAGCCGGCAGTGTGGAGAGCAGCCTCCAGCTGGTAAGTCTGGTGTGATGAATGGGAAGGGGAGGGAAGGGGCATGGGGGGGCAGATGTGGGATGAATCTGCAGCTCGTGGGGGTGGAGATGGGGTGGCTCCTGCATCTGTGCAGGGCAGGGCAATGAGCCATGAGCTGCAGCTGTCTCGTGCCTGCCTCACCTAGGAAGCGCCTGCCCCCTCCCTCACTGCAGGAGGCATTGATCTGCACCCCGCAGCCATGCCCCTTCCACCACATGGACTTACCAGCTGGAGGCAGCTGTATTGAAACACTGGATCAGTATCTGCCAATATGCCTACTTAAATATCGAGTATCAGTATCGGCTCCCAAAATCTCTATTGGTGCACCCCTAGTTAGAATATTCATGGAGCGTGTGAGACAGCTAGGCTCAGTTGCCTCTTCTGACTGGGAGTTTTGAACCCCCTTTCCCCTCATGTCCTATTTACCAGGAGGAATCCATAGCCTACAGGGTTACAGGATACATTCTGAGACAATGCCACACTCAAACTTTCATGCTGATGCCATTTCATTTTCCATAATAATTAAATTTCACAGGAGCAGGGAGTAGAACCCAAGTGTGCCTAGTCCCTAGTCAGTCTCCCATTACAGAGATGGCAAGGGAATCAGTTTTTCTCACTCTTGCTCTGCCTCTTTGACAGCATAAGTATTTTATACATAATGAAAAGAGTTAGAGAGCTTAATGGGCCTACCTTAGAAAGACTTGAAACCCAAGTTCGAGACTGATCTTTGCCTGGATAAGAGCTAGGATATGAGCCCATGTCTCTGCCTTAAGGATAGTGCCCTATGCATGATCTTATTGGTTGTTAGGAGATAGATCTAAACAGACATTAGCAAGGTAAATAAATACTGCATGGACCCTGATTCTCCCTTTGCCTCGCATGTTGTGCAGCCTGTTATACTTGTGCAGAGGTAGATTAAAATAGTACTAAATCAGAAGGTGAAAGGGTGCAGAGAAAAAGGTATTATATTTTCAATGTGTGGTAGAGACACCTAGGTTCCCAATTGTTAATGCCTCACATAACAGGCATGTCTACCTTTTAAAAACGAAATAGAAACAGATCTTTTTGGCAACTGACAGAAACTGAGGGAAGCATCATAAAAGAAGTGCTAATCAAAATACATACTTGCAGAGCTGGATACTTTGCACAACTCTGCTAAACAGCTTAAGTCCACAAAATATCAAGGCAGTACCTCTGCTAACCTAAGGAAAACAAGGTTTTTTTAATAATCTGCTGCTCAGTCTCAAAAAGGGCATAATGTTGCACATGGGCCCTGTCTCTGCTGGTTCTAGTTCAAGAAGTCCAAGGCTTAAAAAAAGTTGCATTTATCATGATAGAAAGCCTTTTGTTCCTGGATTGTACAGAGGTACACATCTACTGTCTTGAATCAAGGTGATGTGAAATAAGCTGGATCAACAGTACTACCGCTTTTTCCCAGGACATCCTGTTGTATGTTTCTACTCCACTGTGGTTCATTCCAGAGACAAGCCTGTCAGGCTGTTTGCTCTCGCTTGCCACCCACTGGCAAAGCAGCAGCAACACAGCTTGGAAGGGTGGCGTGTATAAATGACTGTGCTGCTCCTGTTTTGATGTGGGTCAAAGCCCAGGACAAGCAATTGCAGGTTAAAAGGAGACATCCGTTTGTACCCCGAGTCCCAAGGATTCTACTGAGGTCCAGAACTCTATGATTACAGCAGTTAGCTAACGTCTATATAACCTTCTAGAATTAGACTAAAATGGCATAAGCCAGTCCGGACAATTCAGGGCAATGCTCAGAGATCCATGCCTCTCTCTACTCTATCCTGAATCATGTAAAGCTATTTTTAAGTATTCTTTTTCTATAAACATTTGTGTTATTTCATCTCTTTAAGATAGACCTTAGAGATGGTAGAGCCTTTGGGTGCTGGCAGACGTGGGGAAAAACAACAACAACAAAAAAGAACAAAATTTACCACAAGCAGCAGCGTGTTACTTTGACTTGGCTCCACAGCATCTTTTAGCTACAGCTGATTCAATCAGCTTTTACATAAAAGTGCCAAGAAAGCCCCACTGAAGTGCCCAATATATACAGATGTTGGGAAAGCCAAGTCCAACTAATGTGATGCCTCTTCTGGGAATGCGCTGGGCTCGGTACGGGCTCACACCAAGTTTAACATGCCATTTCCACCACCCCCGCCCCGCGTCTGCAAGCAGTGTTTGAGTATAATGACAGCTCTCAGACTACGTAGGAAAAAAACTCCAGAAAAGGCTGTTACATGTACAATATATACACACTATGTACCTACATATATATGGGTAAAATTAATTTTTCATTCCTCGAAGTCCACCGTACCTCTTAGATCTGTGCAGGCTTTTCTGGCAGCAAAAGCTAAGATGACCATATTACAAAACAGCTGCTGTTTTGTAATATACCCAACAATGCAACTGGTTCAATAAGATATCACCCCCTAAAAATCTTTATTTTTAAACTGAGCATTAGAGTTGGTTCCTCTGGCTAATCTTGAGCCAAGATTAGTGGTTGCAGAAAACTTTTCTATACCAAAGATATTTATATCGATATTGCCAAAGTACTTGCAATTTAGATGAATCAGACTTAAACCATGAGAATCACATAGTGCTATTGTTGCCATACATCTTCAAATTCCAACATTTCAGAGGCTTAAAAAATGCTAGAGCTGGATGCCTATTATTTATACCAATAAGGTAGTATAAAAGTCTTGGTTTCTAGTTGTTATAGACCTTGAAATCACAATGTGTGAATCATGCTGGAAGAGAACTTAAGGGGCAGCGCAAAATACTAAAACACAGTTATGTGATGTCAGGCTCAGAGGCGCATAAAAGAAATAAAAGGTTTATATCCTTAGAAAACTAACATTTATGACTTCACGGTTACATACAGATTTAATATTTAACCCAGATGATTCATAAAATATCAGGCTCCGAGTCTGCAAAAAAATCCTTTTAGCTTAGAGGTTTGTGCCTTGGTTGCTGAAAATCCTGGATTTGATCCCAATTGAAAACCAAGGGGCGTGCCCAGATGAACACGCATGTGCGGTCTGAGGTGTCACAAACCACATGCGGTACACATGCAACCATGCTGCACAATTTGGAGGTTCTGGTGTTAAAAAAAACTACCGCAAAAAAGTGGTGCGGCATACACTCCAGAAGCGCAAACTGGCAGAAATGGAGACTGGGTCCAAAGAATCTCCCAATCTCTAGCTATCTGTCAGCTCCTCCATCACGCCAGGAGCTGGGAGGAGCATGGAAACGGCCATTTCCCTGAAGCGGGGCATTTTGCCCTGCACCAAACCCCATGTGCAGGGTCTTGCACAGTGGCAAAAAGCAGTGGCACAAATCTGTGCCACTGCTATTTCTGCCATAGCGAACATACGCCCCTTCATGCATACGTTCATGTGGACATGCCCATAGTGTCAGTCAGTTTTGAAGCCATAAATTATTTGGATTTATTATAAATTAGGTCATGCACGTTTAAACATGTAAAGCTTAAGCTCATTTGATACATACCTGAATTTCCAAAGACCACATCCCATGGTGAACTTATAGGCTGTTCTTCTCCTTTTGTTCCACCCTCCTTGTCCATGCCTTGTATTCCAATACCTGCTACAGTGGTCACTACCTTTAATTCTAGGTCAATCTATGAGAAATATAATAGCATATGCAATGATCTTGCAGGTGGCGATTTTGGTTTTTAATTCAGCCAAGTCAGATGTTTAGATACAGGCATACGTCTATACCTACAGAGGAACTAATCGCAAATTTGATTGTCATACTTTTATCAGATAACTATTAAACTTGTTGAAAAACCTGAATGGCTCTTCAATCTAAACAAAAACAGAAAACTGTGTTTTCTGTCATGGTTAGGCCAAATCATCTGGAGAAATGACAAACTTTACAGATGACTAATGGGGATATTTCAAAAATACACTTCTAATAGCGCGTGCTATACAAATGACATACTATACAAACATTTCCCAATACCATGTATCGTAATCTGTACAAAGCAAATAATTTTATGCAATTTATTTAATAAGATTTGCAGCTAATTCATGTCATATTACACCATTTCATTTCTGCCCTGCTGATTTAATCAGGAAATGTCTTCCTTTAGTTAATTAATCTTGATGATTGTGTTAAAAGAAGAGGAAAAAGAAAAGAAAAAACTTTTTATATGCAATACGGTGTCATTTCTGTACCAATAATTCCCCTTTCCTTTTAGACTTGTTTCCTCACAGGAAGCCATAAGCAAACTGGAAGCAGACAAAAAGAGCTGTTGGATTACTTCAAACCTTTAATAACTGTGCTATTGGGGTGTCCCTTTAGATCAAGGAAAACAGTTAATGACTCAGCAAGAGCTTCAGATCCTCTAAAGGTATTTAGGTGGGCACCTAATTTCCACAGATTTCAATGGAAGTTAGGCACCTACTTACCTTTGGGAGTTGAATTGCAGAGCATGTAGGGATTTTAGCATTTTATATTTAACGCTTCCATGAACAGAATCTTCTTACTCTTGCAACTCAGTCACTAAAGGAAGACTATTTAGAATGGAACAGCCCTTCATATTACAATCTTGGGGTGAACTGAATCCAAAAAAATTCACATATTGAAAATCCTCAAAAAAAAAGATGATTGTCACTTTAACTGGCTGCAGAGCACTGCAGGTTATAAAACGAGTGGATCATACTTTCTTATAAAAGTTTGATATGCTTTTTCTTCAAGTTACAAACCCATTTCCATACTCATGGCAAAAATACTAGAGAAGTCACTGGAAGTGTAAAGATTAATAATGCATACAGGAAAGCCTTGCTATCCGCGTGTTCGGCATTCATGGTTTCAAATATTCGTGAATGCCGAACCCGCATTTTAAATACACTTTATACACTTACAGGAGCTCCTCAGGAGCTCTGTGCTTGCTCATTCTGCACTCCTGCCATTGCCGTGTTCTGCCCTGCCCCGAGCCGCCAGGGGTGCTGCATTCATGGACTTATTAGCGGATTTTGCAATTTGCAGGGGATATGAGAATGTATTCCCCGTAAATGGTGAGGGTTGCCTGTATTATTTTAGCTTAGCAAGGCCACAGCACAGAAAATTTTAATTATTAATAGATCTGGTTTCCATTAGAAGAGTATTAAATAACGGTCATTAAGAGTTTAAAAACATAAATGTAGCAAAAAAATGGACATAATTCCTTTAAGGACAAATTGAACAACATTTTTCTGTGTAGTTATTTTTAAATATTGGACCAAATTCCGCTTTCCATGAGACAGCATGACAGAGTAATTTTTTTCTGTCAATTTTCATGGTGTAATTGAGCAAAGAAGAACCCAACGCGCAGAGAAAAGAAGAAACCTCAGGAAAACCCTGTACCACATTCAGGACCATTAGGTATGAACTTCACGTGTGATAAATGCAAAAGGGGCTGCCATTTAACAATTTGGCTCTACAGCCATACTCACAGATGTTCAACAAGCTGATGCCTCACTCAACAGAAATCTGCTGTCTCATGGGACAGACAGATATGTGTACCGATTAGAAAGAAATTTTGGGTAGTTATCCTTTATTAGTTGGCTTTCAAAAAAAAAAAAAAGTGTACCTTTCTAATCAGATGATTTTCTGTATCAGCTACATAAATAATATTGTTTTTTATAGCCACTCCCTGTGGTGAACTGAATGCTGCTTCTGAAAATCTTCCATCTCTCCTTCCGCTGTTTGGACCTAAACACACAAAGAAACAGACAATCAGGGGAATAACATTTCACACAAGAATCAATTTAGAAAAAAGGAAGACAGTGAAAACAATTACTGTATGGTAAAGAAGGTACAATATTGTACAAAAAGAGGAAGTTAAAAAGCATTTTTGAAGAGGCATTAAAATTAATTTTAAAAACAGTTATTACCTTTGCTGCACACTAGTTTAATAAGAACATTTGAAACATCCAATTTTCTCTTCACTACTGATGCAATTTGTTTACTGTCTGTATTTTAGGCTTGGGTAGGCATAGTGTCACACCAGGAAGGTGTTCTGGTCTAGAAGCACAAGTTCTAGCCTCATTGGCTTGCACTGATAGCTTCTCCCCAGTCTACTGAGCAGCGAATGGCTCACCAGCTTGGGTACCAAGGATGGCCAGATACTTGGCTAGTCACATTCCTCACTCACGGGCTGTTGGCTACACACTGCAAGCCTTAGCAATACTATCCAGATGAGCCGTCTAGATTTCAATAGGCCTTTAATGCTTTAAAGTTCCTAGGTTTTGACAAGGAAGAATCAAAACAGTAAGTAATGTAGTCAGTCAATATAATGTCAGGTTCTAGTTTATAAGCACAGTATTGTCATTACTGATACAACAGGAGCCCATTTAAAATCTACTATAATTTAAGAATGCTGACAGGAGATCTCTAGTTAGTAACTGGCCCTGAGATCCAACTAAAGATTTCCTCAGTGCTGGATTCTCAAGTGTTAGGGTCTCCCTTCACTTCCCTGACCCAGCTTCTCCTTTCCTATGCATCCCATCTTTGTGTTGTCTGAAAAGCAGGATAAAATACATGCTATGTCGATGTAATGAGTAATTTACTTTTCATGCCCTATATTTTGACATCTGTGCAATGCATTGGGCTTAAAAAAAGCCAAGGTGTGTCAATATTACACAAACAGAAACTCGAGTTATTTCAAATAAGCATATTCATGTCTCTCATGGGTTTATTTTAAAAGTTTGTTATTAAAACTGTTTGAAACGGGGTCTGAAGGGAAAATACTCTAAATACTTAAATACTCTAAAAATCACATGGCTTTGAAAAACTTACACAAACCTTACCTCCAATGGTGTGCACTATTTGCCCATTTTTCTGGACAACCAAAATCCTGTTATGTCCAGTATCTGCTATGACCACTCTGTTTCCTGAACTATCTACTGTCACTTTTCCAGGAAACAGCAATGGAGAAGGGGGGAGAGAGTCTTTGTACAACTTTATTGCAATTTTATTATCTTTGATTTGTCCTTTTTCTTTGTAGAATCTCAGAGCTATAGATGCAAATAAAAATAATTTTTCTGTGTGTCCCTCTCCAACAAGAGAAAACAGCATATTTCCACGAGGCCCAAGTATAACCAGAGTTGGCCAGCAGGACACTTCCAGCTCGTGCCAAAGTTTTCCATCTGCATCATTTACTACAGGGTGGGTAATATTATATCGAAGAACAGCACTTTTAATGTTATCCAGAACCTTTTCATTTGGGAACTTTGCTGAATGGACACCAACAATAAGAAGACCATCTGAAAGTAAAAATACAAGAAAGTCTTGCATGAAAATATATTTGCACCCAGCTAAAAGTTAAAAAAAACCACTGCTCTCTCTCAGAACATGACTAATAGCAATACAAAGTAAAAGAGGATTTGAGTAAGTTAAATTAAAAGCAAGGACTGTAATTCAGTATCGTGAGATGCATAACTCATCTATTAATACCAAATACTATGGTTCAGAAGATTTCAGTAGAATTAAGATATTGTTTACTTTCCAAGTTGGCTGCAAGTTAATACATCATAAAACGTTCTTGACTGCTGGGACCTCTGCATAGACAGAAGTCACATTTTGGAGATAGTAATTATGACCATGCTGTAGTGTCTTCTGTTTTAGAAAACAGTATCTTCTTCTGTAAACCTGGTATTCATAAAGACCCAGTACTAGTAAGTATAATTTAAATAATCCTTTCAATACTACCACAGAAATAACTGAAAATATATGGACTATTAAGATCATATTGCATTTCATGTGCAACCAATATTAGAAGTATTATGAAAAACTGTGGCTCTGACAAGCTAGATACAATTAATAAGGATTAATACTTAGCCATCAGGGAGTGATGCCCTTTAAGTTTTGCCCTCTTCAACTCAATCAAACAAGTATAGAAAACAGGTTTAAAAAAGCCAGTTTCCCCCACAAAGAAAACCAGAAGGTAGGGCAATTTGGCACCTTAGACCGCGTTCAGACGAATGTGGTTCCCCGGGGCAGGTAGCAGTGGCCTGGCTCCGCTTCTCAGCAGCTCATGCGATCTGTGCATGCACTGATCTAGTTTTTTTTCCCCCCCACGGGTTTTTTGACCCCTGGATTTCCTGGACCCCTGTGGGGAAAAACCTGGAGCAACGCACATATGGGAAGCGTGGCCTTGGAGTGCAGAGAACACTTGACTGCTGTATGTGGCACTACAGACATATCGCATGGCTGTGCTCATCTGGATGCAGCCTTAGAAAATAACTTGTTAACAAAGGCATGAGCTGTCATGGACAACTTACAGTCCATTCCCAGTATCTAATGAAGTAAGTTGTAGCCTATGAAAGTTCATGCCTCTCTGAAACAATGAGGTCTTCAAAGGGCCATCTCTCCCCAACTTCTGCCTGTGTTCAGTCGAGCATGGCTAACCAACTCTATCCCCTTAACAAAAGTGAGGTTAATAGCATTCTGGGTCTCTAAGGGTGTGCGTACTAGTATGCCTGAAGTGTGCCACAAGATCCCTGTGTGAGGGGGTAAATGCTCTCCTTCTGTATCTGGCACCCTGTCCCTGCCCCACCTACTCCTGTGATCACTTTTGTTAGAAGTCTTGCCACCATCTTAAACCTGAGGGACTGAGTTCATTGGAGGCATGAAAGATGCCAGGGCAGAGTCAGAGGGGGTACAGCAGTGCAGATGCTCCCCCCGTTGATTCCAGCTCCACTCACACATACATAGTTGTACAAAACAACACATCGATAAAATCCCCAAACTTTTATTCTAATGGAAAGCCTTAGTTTAACATAATATGAATGGCAGTTGTCCAATTTCCCCATTTTTCTGCTCTGGAATCCCCAAAATCATCTGGAGTCTTTCAACATAACCATCTAAGTTTTAAATTCTCAACTGATCTTGTGTATCCTTTAGGGATAAGATGGGAGAGGCAGGAAAGGAAAAAAGAAACATCCTTACAATTCATGCGTTCCTATGTTAACCTTCTTTACCAGTTAAGAACTTTTGACACTTGCAGGATTGCTAATGTACATTATGCTATTTGTTTTTTCATCACACCAATAAAATTGCCTGGCATTTATATTGCCTTTTGTGTGGTGAAAACCTAATAAAAACATCTCTTATTCTGTTTTCCACTACCGAGGTCTGTAGGTGGATTCCTTGCAGTGCCTTATTATTTCAGTAACACAAGTTGCAATTGCTTCAGCAGCAAAGGGAGCCAAGAAGTTAATACAGGAAACAAATGGAAAAGATATTAGTATCCAATCCTCAAATCCTTATTTTTTGGACTAGTACTATCAAAAGTTTCAAAAGAACTACTCTTTGCAGAATGGGTTTGCAGAATGTAGGTCTTAACTTACAAAAGTGTACTTGCCATTTTAAATTTGTTGAAATGCCACTTTAAAAATAATTACATACTTACAACAATAGGCAGTGCTGTACCATACAACTAAAGCGCAAGTTTAAATATAAGCATAAGTCATAGAATTGAAAGTCATAGTTGTAAATCTGACATGCACATTTGCAATGTGAACCTCTGGCACAAAGCAATTAGGGTCTACAAATTTGTGCCGACTCACCCGGACAGGTATCGTTTATGAACTTCCATCCTGAATAAACCAAGTGGGACCAGCTTTGCTGCTAGGAAACCGGGGTGTCTGTCAGACAAATACTACAGAAACCCTACCACATTAACACTTCAATGTAAGAAGGCTTTGGCAGGGAATACGTTACATTTAATTATTTTGGTAACAGACACAGTAAAAGGCTAATGGGTATTCTTCTTCAAAGTAGCCTTTTGTTGCAGCAGACTGACTCCACCAGATTGCAACAAATCTAATCAGAACAAAGCATAACTCTCTCTCCAATTAATTTTGAAAGCAGAAGATGAAGTCAAGAAATCTCTATTTCCTGCCCCTCTACCTCCAACTAGCAGTACTTTAAGGCATTTTTTCACTTTATTTTTCCCTCCTCTTCCTTGAAGCTACTGTGCTGCTTCTAGGGCTCCTTTTGAAATAAGTCCCTCAAGAACGTTTTTCTGCAGATAGCATTTCGCTGTATTTTTCACATCTGAGAAATTCATCCCTCTCTCTCTCATTTATTTATTGCCATTCTAGCATTTCAAGTTGCTTTCTTTGAGAAGGAATAGGCAAGAAATGTGAAGCTTGCATCTTTTCAAGATAAGATACCTTTCCTTTGTGCATTTCATTCATTTGGCGCACGCACAAAAGCATTCAAAATCTTGAACTGCAATAGGCTCCAAAGTGGAGAAAGCATACTAATTTCAGTATGTATTATCAGATGCTTCCAGAGAGCAAACTTGCTTATTAAATATTAGACGCTTCAGCACTTACAAGAATGCAAACCAAAATGATGCCGTATCTCCATCTATTTTCAGAACAGGGTGAGCCACTCAAATAACCTTCCCTTATAGTAGGCAGGGTTTGTTAAGAAAGGTGAGACTGACTCACGGAGTAAAAACATCCTCAGATGGGAACGTCCTTAGGGAGTTCGTGGGAAAGCAGTCAAGCTGAAGGACATGGCTTTAGGTAACATCTGTGATGTTACTAGGTTCCCTTTAAAAAAAGCTCAAGGGCAGAAGGTGAGTTTGACACCACAGAGAGAGTGTGCATTATGTTTCAGTAGAGAGAAGACTTATAACTGAACTTTTCTTGGTTCTACCACGCCAGGCTAATCTCCAGTTCAAGACCCATTTCTCACTGTATATCCCATCATAAAACACCACTTTCTCATGCCTCAGATACTGCATAGGGAGCACAGTCAATGGGTGTTCTCAGGGCTCTCTTAGACTCGATCCTTGTTTCTTTAAAAATCAGTTCTTAAGAAGTTCAATATCTCTATGCTGATCTTTCAGGTTTAAGCCTTCCTCTTCTCCTTCCTCTACCCACTATAAATAAGCACAAGAAAACAGGGCACTGGCAAGGGGCACTGGTACTCTGGAGCACAATTACTAGCTTTTGTCCTGATGCATCTCGTCGCTCTGGTGAATTCCCTGCGATTCACCAAAATAAAGTGCCGATTTGAAGGACATGAAGAAGGGAAAGTGTGCAGGCCTCCTTTGGTACCTGCATGGAAACAAGCTGGGGCCACCCGCATCCATTCTGTCCTCACTGCAGACTGCATAGCAATCCAGCATAAAGTCACAGTACATTTTTTTTAAACCTCTATACAGCTGACAAATAGCCAGACCACCCAAAGGCACACTAGCAACCAATGGAGCAATTTCAGGCCAAACAACTGAGTTATTAGCTTGCACACTTTTTTCTTCTTTAAGTAATGGGGAAAAGTATTCTTCATTCCTGAAAATGGCTGAAACATTTTGGTTCATATTAAAGGAAAACCTGTCCAAATTTGGCAAGACAGTGTTATAAACAAGTGAACATAATCTCTTTGAATAGGAATGTTTATGCAAATTGAAAACAAATGTTATGTTGCTTCTTATGCTGCAAATAATGTAGTGGTGTTAAATCAGGTGGCGTGATAGTAAGTAATCAAACATCATATTAAGGAGGGGGAATAACATTTACATGTTCCTTTTTACACTTATGTTTAGATTTTTTCTCACTAAGTAACTTCTTAATGGTGAGTGGGAAGAGCAAGTTTGCTAGATTTCACCAAGTTGCTTTCAATTTTTTTTAGTTTCCAACTAATTATCTCAGTTGGTCCCTAAGTCCTGTTCCTGCAATTGGATCTACACAAGTAGACCTCTTCAGCTCTATACAGCTGTGCTGAAGTCAATGTTGGTCCACTTGGCTGGGAATCAAATTATGGACTCAGAGCCTCAGTCATCCTACTTGCCATTGAAGCCATTTCGTTCCAGTTTTCTAGAATTTGTCCAGTCTTACATAATGTCTTGAACTTACATAACTTACTTGAACTTACATAATGAACTTACTTAATGTCTTGAACAACCCTTCATTTTCCATAAGGCTTTTCTGTACTAAAAATGAAGAATTTAAGAAAAACAAAGAACATAAGAATTCTTTCAGCATAGTTTTTCTTTTGTTTTATCAACTCATTACTCTGCTGTATTTACTTCCCTGTCAACTGCACATACTTTTCAAGTGCTCACAGACTACTGTATTTCTCATTAAACTTTTCAGTGTAGTGTTAAATGTGCTCAGTACTAAGCCTAGGAAATCTCTGCATGAATAATGCACAAGAGAACTATAACCAGTTCTCTTATTTTCTCAAATATAACATGAATCTTTCCCCAAAAATCAGCGTCTCAAAATCGGGGTGCATTTTACATGGA